GGTGGGGAAAGACAAGAAAAAATAGCCCAGTTTACCAGGATGTAAATCAGACCCCTTCATTATTGGGGTTATTAGGGGCTATTGACTCCCAAGACCTCAGATGACAAAGAATTGTCCCTTGCAATTTTTTAAAAGGTTGACAATATGCAAGGATACCAGCACAAGCCACCCAACATTATTCTTTATGTACAAAGAGTCTCATGAGAATCCAAAAATATGAAAGAGGGGACTCAATAAGTTATCTTGATGATTCTTCCAAAAGCCTACACCCATTTCAGTAGACAGTGGTGTGATCATAGGGAGGAGGGTATGTGACAAAAATATCAGCCTATTTCAAAATACTAAGACTGTCCCTGAACCCTTGCCCAATATAAAATAGCTCTGGGATCGGTTCTGCAGTCTTTTCTCAAGCAAAAGTCTTACTTTCAGTATCAGCCTTAAAAGTAGGACTGAGCTGAAGTGATATTTTTAAGACTACAGACCCTTCTGTTTTCTTGACAGACCCTTCTGTTTTGTTGACATTGAAAGTAGTGGTAGGCCGAGACTCAGGGGGTAGCCGAGTTAGTCTATTAGGGTATGTCTACACTTGCTACCTAGTTCGAACTAGGGATGCAAATGTAGCTGACCGAAATTGCTAATGAAGCAGGAATTTAAATATCCCACACTTCATTAGCATAATCTCGCCCGTGTGCTATTCCGCTCGCCAGCTGATTCAAACCAGGAAGTGAGCTCCAGGATGCGTTAGTTCGAATCAAACCCCTTGGTTCAAACTAACATTACTCTTCATTTTTTACACCAGCATTTTGAGGAGTAATGTTAGTTCGAACCAAGGGGTTTGATTCGAACTAATGCGTCCCGGAGTGCACTTCCTTGTTCGAATGAGTTGGCGAGCGGACTAGTGTGTGGGTGAGTTTATGCTAATGAAGTGCGGGATATTTAAATCCCCGCTTCATTAGCAATTTCGGTCGGCTACATTTACATTTCTAGTTTGAACTAGGGAGCAAGTGTAGATGTACTCTTACAGAAAAAAAACAACAAATGATCAAGTAGAACTTTAAAGACTAACAAACATCTAGATGGTGGTATGAGCTTTCATGGGCACAGCCCACTTCCTCAGATGACCCGAGTTGTGAGTTTGGGATATGAAAATTCTAAATAAATTGAATTTGTGGATGAACTGTGATTCCAGGGCCTCCCTGTGGATCTGTCTTGTGTTGCTGGTTTGTGATAAGACAGCTACTTGCAGGTCTGTCAGACTGTGGTTTGGCAGGCTGAAATGCTCACCAACAGGCTTCTGTATGTTCCCTGGAATTTCCCTGTATGTTCGTCCGCAAATTCAATTCACATGCTAATGGACATCATCCTGCTATGGGCTTGCTAGGACACTACCTACTTGATAACCACTGAAGGTGCTAACAGCTCTCTGAGTGGTATCCTTCCTGTCTTAGGAATCTATCTATTGACTTTGATTTTTATCTGCTTAGGTTTAAGTACCCATCTCCAGATACTTAATGATGCTTTCTCTCCCTCCTGCCTCCCTTTTCTTTTCTCTCCCCCCTTCCCTTCCCCTCGCCTAGTTATTTCAAGATTTCATATCCCAAAATCATAACTTCAGTCATCTGAAGAAGTGGACTATGCCCACAAAAGCTCATGATACCATCTATATGTTTTGTTAGTCTATAAAGTGCTACCAGACTTTAATGACCTTTTTTTTGTCATAGGGTTGCCAGATGGTTTCATCAAAACTACCAGACACACTTGACATTACATCACAATCTACATTACATCTTATTTAGAAAATACTGGACATTTGTATTTTCTCATTTATATTTTTTCAAATTGTTTCCCGAACAGAAAGCTCAAATACTAGACTGTCCGGTTCAAAACTGGACACCTGTCAACCCTATTCAGATATGTATCTTACTTGACATTCATGCTTATCCACACCTCTTGACATTTCATCTAAAAATCTCAAAAGATCACAGTTTTTACTTGTGAAATAGCAGTATTTCTCTGTTTCAACTGGACCAAAAATGCTGCAAGAGCAGGCTTTTTCATGGTATTGCATTTTGGTACATGTAATTTCAGCCAAAATTTTCACATGGAGATATGAAAGTAAAATTAAATAAATAAGTTTAAGTGAATTTTTGAAGTCTCAAAATCAGTGGAAGATGACCTCTCTGGTTTGATTCCTCAGTGAAATTAATAATGACCACTTCCTGTTAATACAAGAAAAGACCAAGATATAATCAGGTACCAAATTCTAAATGCTCTACAATGTGATCAGTTAAATACCTCTATGTGAAGTGAATAAGTAGGCCTTAAATAACCTAGAAACTATGTTATCGATTAACCTGGATGTAAAACCATGCAATTTTAATAATGCTGAACAACCTTTTCCAATCATTTTACATAAAAAATTAGCTTTTGAATCAAGAGAAACAAGAGATGCTGAGACTCTAAAGATTAACAACACCCTAGAAACAAGCAATTTTGAGCTTGCAATTAAATGTAGGTGTAAGCCCACACATTACATAGTACAGTTCTAAAATTGGTAGCATTGCAGCCATAAATAATTGTCTCTCCAATTTTGTACCTACATTATGTTGGAGGTCACATTTTAAAGTTTAAGCCTAAAACTCCAAGGGCAATATTCTCAGCTGATGTAATTGGAATGTGCCCTTTGCACCTGCTTGGGCTCTAGCTGGAAATGCATGTTAATTGATCCTTGTAAGACAACATAGGAATTAAGCAAGAAGAGATAGAAATACATATTTATCAACAAGTTTTACTACAAAGAAGTGTTTCCCCTTGGCACATGTTCACATGAGCGCTAACACATTACAGAAATATAATTTGAATTGCTCAAGCATTTTTTCGTATCAAAAGACATGGAAATATTAGCATTGTTTTACGCTAAATAGTAATTGATTTACAGCTGCAATTAGTTACATAATTATTGACTACATGGGTAATTAGAAGTAATTTGTTGTCAAGCTATGCTAAGTGAAAATGTAGTTTTTAATCCTCAAACTAGAAAGATAGTAAGATATTTAAAACACTTCATTTTGCCAAGGAATTACAATGTTGTCATCAATTAATACAAACTCATTTTAGGCAGGAAAAAACAACAAATGAGTTTTTTTTAGACAAAAAGTAAAATGAAACAGGAAAATGCAGCAGTAAGGGACACGTGAGTTTGGTTTATTAATTAGTATTTGTTTTTCAAGATAAATGGAGAGAAGTATTTAAGGATATACAGTACATAGCTGTTACAACTAAACTTGGGACAAAATTCACCCAGGTGCAATACCATCAAAGCCAGTAGTTACAGAAGGGATTAATTTTGCCAAGAGCTATAATGTAAGTGATACAATGAACATTGTATTTTTATGTAGTTTTGTTTGGTGGTATTTTCAGACCGATAGCTCTGATTCCAAAAGATCATGACAAATCTTTGAACTGCAGGAGCTGTGGTTTCTTGATGAAGTACACTCAATGCAAAAGGCAATAATACTGCAAGGGGTGCCTTAGACATAGCAGGGCCATGATATTAGCAAGCTGTATGCTTGATTGAAAATTGTACATCATTTAGTTGGAAAAGGGCAATAACTGCACTTTCCCTAACTAAATATACTTTATTAAAATTTAGAATAATAAACTTTTCCCCCAGCTAGTAGTGACCTTTCCTCAAAGTATGTAGGGGATTAAAAAAAGAAGAAGAAAGGAAGGAAAGGGTTAGTAATCAGATAGGCATTAGCAGCCTCAGTGTGCACAATTTATTTTGTTAAATAAAGTCTCTGGGCACATCTAGCCCATGCTGTGTCCATTTCCACAGGACTATACTTGACTGTTTACCATAACAGTCAATGAAAATTAAGTGCATATTCTAACAGACCAATTGCAAATGGCTTTAAAGGTGCCAGAGGTAATTTTGCACTACATAGCCATATTTAAAATAGCAAAAAGACTCCCTACTATAGGTTCTTTAAAATGCAGTTGGTAAAGCAAGTGTTTTGTGCAGAAGATAGCTGAAGAAACTGTGTATACTGTCTGCTCTTTTCATGCTATTTCCCCCTTATTGTACTAATACAGGGATTATAGTAAAATGAGACTGTGATTTTATTGAATAAGGATCTATTTAATTGTTTTGTCTCCATGAGATCATTTTTGTTATTTTGGTGGTTTGGTAGGGGGAATTTGCCTATGTCTGTAATTGATTCAAATGTTCAAAAGTGGGTGTTTGCCCAACTTGTACTTAGAATGCCTACACAAATTGTTCTATACTCCTGGCTTTCACTTGGCTTTTGTTTAGGGTTTTTTTAATGGTGCAAATGCACTTATGAAGAACCGTATCATAAACATATTGAATGAATACCTATGCAGTATTCAAAATATTAGAACTTTTGAAGTTACATACTAGGGGCAAGATTTGGTGCCTTCAGTACTCCAGTTAAGTTACCTTGAAATCAATAGTAGTTGTACAAATGTACTGAATTTGGCCACAGCATGAAAGCGGAGATTTTTTACTTCTGAATTCTATCCACTTATCTTTCCCGTGGCCTGTTGAAGAATCTCTGATGCTCTCAGATTTTATTTTAGCTAGTCCAATAATAGGGGTTACTACAGCTGCTTGGGTTATTTGTTTTATTTTTGTCCATTCTGATAGTGGACTAAACTCAGTTACTACTCCTGCATCTGCACTGCACTAAGTGTAAGGTGACACAAAAGAAACACATCAAGTAGCCAAAAAAAAAATTGTTGCTATGCCATACAGTATTCAGTTCAGTGTTTTGATAGGCCTATTGTGAGATAAGAGAATATAAAGATCAAAGCACATTTCTTGTCCCAGGTTTGATTTTATACCGACTTTGGCAAGAAGTGTGTAGTGTATGCTGAAGACTTACTCGTACTGAGTCCTTTGTTGTTTATCTCTTTTACTTGTTCCATCTGTCAGACCATCTGCCTCCCGATGACCCCTTTTTTTTATTGTATTACAGGTCCACACATTCCGAGGTCCACACTGGTGTGAATACTGTGCCAACTTCATGTGGGGCCTCATTGCTCAGGGAGTCAGGTGTTCAGGTAGCTTTATTAATTTAATTTATATTGCTTCTTTCTCCTGAAAATACAGGTTTAAGGTCTGAGAGGAAGGAATGGGGAACAGTTTCATAAAATATAACAAGGAATTCCTATTTAATTAGTCCAAAGGCTGGATTTGCTCTAGTTTAGCCTGATTCTAAGAAATTCTGAGCACTAGGAACAAATTTTTTAACAGCAGTAAGAAATGGGAGTTGCACAGAAATAGGGATCCAGTCCCAGGGTTAGCAAGAAAGAATACTAATGGGAGGGAGAGCTTCCCCTTTTTATATATGGAGAACAGAGAAGCTAGCCGCATCAGTTTAGAGGAGGAGGATAATTAATTTATCCTACTTCTCTTTAAACTGCTGTATAGCCCTACAAGAATATATAAACGTATTGAGAAGATGGTGCTAAATTTTCTTTTGGAAAACTTTTTTTCAAAACAAAAGATTTAGAAACATTGTCCCTGTTTATTTTTCCTGCTTAGTTGGTTTAGAAATAGAGGCATCTCTGCATGGACATACTTTATAGCAGAAAGTTGGCACTAATGTGCCCCTGTACTTTGGCTTAGGTTTTTCATTGGGATCTTGTAAATCATCTTCCTTGTGGCAGTGCCAAGTCTGTATGTTTTTACAATATAAGGAACAAGATATGAAGATGGCACAAAGCCAGCCTGCAGCTAGACTTCATAATTCATCTTCTTACCACTTGCTGTTGAAAAAATGTCTTTCTCTGGGAAAAGACTATCACCTTTGACTAATGAAAATGCCATATGTTGCAACAAACCTGAATGTATCCTCTCATAAAAAGGGAAAATGTTGTCCTTGTTTCCAAAAAACTTTCTTGTTTTTCTTTGCTAATCTTTTATAGTTTTTTAATTTTATTTTTTGTTTGAAACATTGCTACAATAAACCAATGATCATTACTCCATGATTTTGTATGATGCAGGAATGGAATTAATTTTTTTTTGAAGCACCACATGCAAATTTTGGTAACTAGGTTCTGCTAACCCAAATTCTCCTTCCACTTTCAGTTGAAGATAGCACTCCCTCTCACTTCCTGCCTTAACCCTATAGGTGCTAAAGTGCACCAGTTATCACAGGGGTGGGGAACTTAAGGCCCCGGGACCGGGATGCAGCCCCCAGTTTGACTGGATCGGATCCCCAGGGCTCAGGGTTTCCATCCCCCACCATTGGGGAGCCTGCACTGGTGCTTCAGCCCCCCACAACTCCTCTGCAGGGCTGGAGCACACAAAATCTACTAGCCTGGGCCCCCAAGGCTCTGGTGTGCAAGGGGAATGTGAGGAGTATCTTTCTCGTTCTCCGTCTCCCGTGTGCATGGCTCCCAATTGATTTTTCTGGGAGTCAGTGGCCCACAAATACGGTTCCCCACCGCTGAATTATCAGCTGCCACCTGCAACCCCACATTAGATTGAATCTGAGAAGTGGGTGAAGTGACTCCACATGAAATTTGTAAAGCAATTTCAAGATCCTTTAAGATAAAATTGATTTATAAATTTAAAATATCAATATGTATGTAGTCCACTTACTGCACTGTACTTCATCTTCTCTACCTACAGATGGGTCAGTAGCAAGATAGAGTATAAAATGAATTTAAAAAGGAAAATGAATAACCATTTACTGATCCAGCTATTTAATCCTCAATGTAAATGTGTATGAACTGACCATGTGGATCTAATGAATATAGTGGGATTTGTTCCCCTCATTTAAAATATCTAACCTTAGCAAAAAGCTTATTTATTTAGGACAAAGCTTAATACTCTCCCTCATTAAATTACCAACATTTAATTCTAAGTTGATAAACAAGTTTTTTTAACCTTACATTAAATGATTTGCAGGAACATTAAAAACAATAAAGGGAGTATCCTAAATGCATCTGGCCAGATTTACTTAGATTTCACCAAACAATGATTCATTATTCAGTAGTTTCTGTCTGAAGAGACTAAATAAACTAAACTGATTCCTTTAAACTTATAGAAGGTTCAGGGTTTCTTTTTTTTTTTAGTGACAGTTTCTTTCTTTTTGTTTGATTGACATTTTATGGAAAATAGTATGGAGTCGTGTTTCATGTAGTTCAGAGACTGGTTTAAAATGTTAGTAGTTCAGCCAGTCATCAACATGCTAAAGATATTTTGCCTACCAATGATGATTTCAGGAATGTTAAGGTGCCCTGGATGATTATGGCATATGGGATCTGGTAAATAACAAGCACACTTTTGTTTTACTCCGCTACATGTACAATCGGTGAGAAGCAGAACTGGAAATTATTTACAATAGAAAGCAAGCTTCTGCGAAATATACATTGGAGTGCAGTGCTTGCTCCTGACTCTGGTTTTGGTAATGCCCTTTGGGGCTGATTCAAGACAGTCATCGTCTGGGCTCTTCTCACTGTTTTCAGGGATTCCTCCACCCCGTTCCCTCTTCAGAAACTCCAGCATTGCAGTGATCCTCTCTCCAGGGTGTTAAATGTCACCAAGTCCTGTCAAGTCAGCCACGGGAGTCACTTGAGAGCAGTATGAAGAGTTTTTAGTGTTTGTTCTGGTTTAGTCTGAGGGATGAGGGTTTCACTTTTTGTTTGTATAGGTTCATGAAACCATTACTTAGTAAAACCTATCAATGGAAATATTCATTCTTGCAACACTTTGTTTACAGACTGTGGGTTGAATGTACACAAACAGTGTTCCAAATATGTGCCCAATGACTGTCAACCAGACCTCAAGAGGATCAAGAGAGTCTACTGCTGTGACCTCACTACACTAGTGAAGGCCCATAACACACAGAGACCTATGGTTGTGGATATATGCATTCGAGAAATAGAAGCAAGAGGTTTGCATTATTTTCTTTGACAATTATTTTCTTCGACATTTATGGAATGTCACTAGATCTATAATTATTACATGAATTGTGTTCAAGGAATAGCAGATACACACAAAAATTAAATCCACCTTGACTACATATCAAGTTGGTAGAAAAAAGTAGTCCCAAGGAGATAAGAGTGGACAGAAATAGTTTTTTAATAAAATTTCTACTCTTTTTCATTGACTAGTAAAGTCTATTTCTGTCATTTCCTAATGCTAATTATTTAAATTGCTTTTTAAAATATATATTAGACATCTGTTCTAAAATACAAGCTATTCATGTTATACTTTTAAAACAGCAAACCCTAAACTCATTTTGATGTCTTTTCACTTGGTTCATTTATCTTTTGACAGCTATATGGACAATATTTTCATTTCAAGGGAATCAGAGTTTAATTCCATGCAAGTTATGAATAGTCTTACTTTTAACTATTTCAGAACACCATGTGCGAGAGAGCAAAAATGAATGGAAATGGTGCATACAAAATGTGAAAGAGGAGTGCAACATTTTGTGACCTGTGGAAAGTCTCTCTCTAATGGAAATCACATTACATTCTGTTTCTGACTAATTAATGCCATAGCCAAAAGCCAGCTTGTGATTTGTTTTTTTACTATACAGGCAGTCCCCGGGTTACATGGATCCGACTTACATCAGATCCCTACTTACAAACGGGGTGAGGCAACCCCGCACTAGCTGCTTCCCCCCAGCAGACCAGGGAGACGCGAAGCTAGCGCCCCCCTCCCACGCCCAGCAGACCAGGGAGACGCGGAGCGGCTTTTCTCAGCAGATACCTCAGCTTGAGAATAAAGGACTGAGGGTAGTGAGGTGTGGGAGAATAAAACTGAGCTCTGGAGAAATGTTTGGCTAGAGTTTCCCCTACAATATGTACCAGTTCCGACTTACATACAAATTCAACTTAAGAACAAACCTACAGTCCCTATCTTGTATGTAACCCGGGGACTGCCTGTAAATGCATTCCATGTTTATAAATTACCATAACCCCAGCTGCAAAATGATTACAAGCTAATGGTTGTGTCTGTTGTTAGGGCCTTGCATGTAAGTTGTGCCACCTGATAAGCCCCGTTTCCCCTGTCAATCATGTTTTGCACAAACAAAAGACAGGACTATGCAGCACTTCAAAGGCTAACAAGATGGTTTATTAGGTGATGAGCTTTCGATGGCTTATCACCTAATAAACCACCTTGTTAGTCTTTAAAGTGCTGCATAGTCCTGTCTTTTGTTTCAGCAAGATCAGACTAACACGGCTACATCTCTATTACTATGTTTTGCACAGAGATCCTAAATGCTGAATTTATGACATGCTAGTAATCTGCATGGCAATATGCTGCCGCCAGACATAAGGATTTGAAAGCAGTGTAAGGGATGTAGCCACAGCTCTTCCATTAAAATTAATAGAAGATGTGCAGCTAAATCAATCCTCTGTATTGCTCTGCAAATCTGAGCCAGGATTATCATTACTGCAAGGACAAGTGGAAGGAGAGAGAACCATTTACTGAAACATAACTATTATAACAATAGCAAAGGAAATATTAGAAAGTTATATTTAATTTGATCGATACATATTTTTTATTTTACAAATTTCAATTAAGACTAAATTGGTTGCCCTCTTTCATTATCAATACCTTAAATGTGGTAAGAACTTTAAAAATACCCTCTTGTTGGGATATTGATTGTGGTCATGACACAGCCTCAGTAGCTGAGGATGGCTTGTGTCTGCTAGCTGGGTGATCACCTGGACATGATCACAATAGGAATCAGTGAGTTAGAACAAATAACATCCATGTAAATCACTTTGACTAGCTGTATGTGCTGTATTGGTTCAAATGTCTTTCCTATAGAGGTGGAAATAGTGCAAGAAGATCTGTGGAGGCTAGCAGTAGTCTTTGTCCAGTCAGACAAAGAACAGTGGGAAGGAATGTTACGTGAAAGAACAGCGCATGCTGGTCATACCGACTGACTGCAAAAAAAGAGAGCCAAAAGGGCCACAGGAAGGTAGAGTTAATTGCTGGCATCTCTATACATCATTAAGAACACAGACATAGGGAAGGCAGACTGTAAAGCTATAGCAATTACAGACTGAAAAACAAGAGACTGAACAGTAGGTGATCACACCATGTGCTGCCAGTGAAGACAAATGGCAGTATTTTGTAGCTGATATTTTGTATTCCCTATTAAACTAATAATACCAGAAAAGGTAATCAAATTCTAGTCTTTAAAAATGACCCGAAGTCTTCTTTAAAATACTCAGAAGTTTAACATTAAAATTATTGCTATCATCACATTTTATATATAGGATTATTAACATAACACATAACAAAAAATCCTATAGCACCTTAAAGGCTAACAGATTTATTTGTGCATAAATTTTCAATAGTAAAACCCACTTTATCGTAAAAGAACTGATTTTTTTGATTTTGTGATTTGACTAGATTGAATATTTGTTGATCTATATCTGTTGATATCTGATAGTTGTTACCTGATTTAGCTTTATTTCTGCTATTTACCTTGCAGGTTTAAAGTCAGAGGGCCTTTACAGAGTCTCGGGATTCACTGAACACATTGAAGATGTCAAGATGGCCTTTGATCGAGGTATACTGTGTTTTTAACATTAGTTGGGTTTCATATGACCTTTTGGTTTACAGAGACACTATGTTTACCTTTTGTTTTAAAAAGACACTCTTTTTACTGATATCTGGGTGTTCAGTTTCCTCCTCCATTATATCTGAACTATAAGCAGAAGTCCAGAATGTTACCTACCTTTTCTCTGATTTTTTATTACCAATTACTGTAGCATTTTTCACATGAATATAATCATATTTCATAGTTGGAATAAAGTAGATAAACATACAACAAATGAGTGTAGGCAGAGAAGTGAAAGGTTCAGATGACTGGTAATGGGCTAGGGAGCCTTTCACCTCTGACAGAAGACATTCCTGAAGACCTGGACGGCATCTATCACATTGTGGATGCTCCTCTAAGCACATAATAATAAACAATAATTATCTTTGTTTAGAAAGGCTGACTGCAGTTGGCATTGTACTGAGTATTATACTCAATGCTAAATTTTTCCAAGTGAAGTCGTCTCAATAGGCAAGTGGATTTACCTCAAATATGGGAATTCATACTATGGGTCCAAAAAAACTCTGCAAAACCTTTAGCAAATGTTATATAGAAGAATGCTTACCTAAAAACCCAAAGGATCTCGCAAATCACATAACCCCCACCACTTATCTAATAACACTGTCTGTCTGTCTGTCTGTCTATGCATATGTCATGAGGAGAAAGTAGGGGGTGATACCTTCTTTGGACCAACTTCTGGGGGATGAGAAAGACAAGCTTTTGACCTTGCACCAGGCTCTTCAGGTATTCAACTTTATGTAAGAACCAAAGCATGTCTCTCTCCAACAGAACCTAATCTGAATCAAAGATATTACCTCACGCACCTTGTGCCTCTAATGTTCTGGGACCAACAGTGCGATAATACTGTATGCAACAATGTGTGTGTAATTTACACACATGCAGGCTACTTCTGCGTTTGCATGCTTCCCTGGGCTCTTGTCTATGCACTGGTTGCACTTGTATCCCAGATCCTGTACCAAATGTCCACATGTGCTGAACAGAGAATGGGTACACGCTGAGCACAGGGCATATACCTGCATTCACACTGTCCTGTTTATGTCTCCTATGGTAGTGCTCTCACTTTGGGGTGGTAAGCCTGAGTTTTTGCATTCCAGGGGATGCTCTGGGAACCTTGCTGTGTGTTGCTGGTACTCTACTCCACCTTCACACATTTGGCAATGGCAGCTGCCACTTGCCTCTCGCGTCTACCAAACTGTGGTGGCGACATGGAGCACACATACGAAGATATGATTCTGTTCTTACTCACTGCACAAATGTTCCCATGGTGCAGTACTGGGTACTGGACAGAATTGGCCCTCACAAGTTTGAGATAGTAAAGACAGATGGCTGAATGGGGGGAATGAAATCCAGTGGGATCCCAAGAAACAGGTGTGATGAATGCTGGGATGGCAATGATATTCCCATGGTTGGGTCATCGCTTTTGGTCATAACCATCACGGTGCAGGGGGGCGACATTGTTTTGGAAACCTGGGATGATACCTACTGGCTGCATGTGACAGGCAGACCAATCAATTGCACAAGGAGCTTTTACCAACTCTCCAGTGTCAGACCACTTGATTTTGGAAATCGCATTCCAGTGCAAAAGCAGATGTGTACCACCATTTGAAAGCTGGTGACACCTGAAAGCTGCAGATCAGTTGCAGAGCAATTTGGAACTAGGGTGTCAGCTGTCAAGGCAGTGGTTTTACAGGTTTGCCAGGCTGTCAGCACTGTGATCTACCCATTAGTGGTTGCCAGAACTAAAATTCTTGAAAAAATGGTAGGGGGCTTTCAAATGGTGGGGTTGCTAAACTATCTAGCAGCCATCAGTGGAACACACTTTGCTCATTGAAAGGGGACAGTGACATCCTGAACAACAAAAGTCGTTATTCACTGATTCAACAAGGCTTGGTGGACTATAGGGCTCAGTTCATGAACATGAAAGTTGGGCATCTAGAAAAGGTCCATGACACAAGTGTGCTCAGGAGGTCAGGGTTGTATTGCAACAGAGAAGAAGAGACTTCATTCCTCTGAAACTACATTATTCTATATGGTGTTTCTGTGCTGATGTTAATTATGGGGACCCCACAAACCCATTCCTATCGTGGCTCATGGAAGGTTACCCCAATATTGCCAGTCCCAGAAAAAAGGAAATTCACCTTACAGACTGAGTAGTTGCGGGATGGTAGCAGCAGCATGTGCCTGTGGGTGCCCGAAAGCCCATTGGTGATGCCCACAGACCTGTATGGCTGCCAGTGTGGCCAGCACATTTTGGATTAATGTAGTATGCTGTGGTTGCACAGTGTATGCGAGGCTGAGAGGGAATACTTTCACAGTGTATGGGCACAGGACAGATCTTCTCTTCATAGCCGGTACAGGCAGCCAGATCCTCCTCTGTGCGCACAGCTCCTGGTTTCTAGAAGGCCTGGAAAATTAGTGCTGCTGTGTACTCGTACATCATGGAACACTAGGGACCCAGAACGTAACTTTCGACTATGCCAGGGACATTAATGTGATCCTTTGGAGCTGCTGGAAAAGCTCAAAAGACCATGGCTACATACATAGGTTGCAAGAAATCTCAGTGGGTTCCAATAAACTGCAGTGGATGTTACTGTGCTAACTGAAAGACATTTGAGGAATTGTGCACGTTCCTTGCACAAAAACACCTATGAGCTGCTACACTTGAGCACTCCGATGATTTCTGTTATACATGAGTACTGTTATAATGAGTACTCCCATTATTTCCTGTGGTAATGATTTGATGTGAGGAGGACTCTTAAATATATTTGCACTGTTAGTTTATTTTTGTTTCCTTTGTCTATTATCAATTAAGTCATTAACAAAGCCATAAATTTGTCTCAAGTGACTTCTCTTCTGTCTTTTATTCTGCAATGTTTGGACAGTGACAGTTTCACGGTTTAGTTCACTGTAATGACCCCTGGGTGTTTTGTTTCTCTAACATTTGGAAATTTGTGACTGGGGTGGAGGGGGGGGTCAGAGGCAAAGGAGGAACCGAATTCACTGTATTGTTTTGGCACTACACATGTAGAAACCACAATCATGTGCTGTAAATCCTGCTGACCCATCTATCATGTGGAAAATGTCTCAGATGGGTATGTGGAAAATGTATTGATCGCACTCCGAAAGCCAGTGCACGCACCAGTGAACATTGGCTTTTACTGCACATGCATCAAACACAGAGATTGCAACAGGATCAAATATACAACAAAAGGCCAGATTCCCTCAAATGTGTTCTAATCTCTCATGTGTTTGAATCTCTCTCCTCAACCTCCCCCTTGGAGGGTGGAGGTGGAAGGGAACAAATGGGGTGTGTCTTCTGTGTGGCATTTGGGGACTAAACATAAGCCAGTCTGCAAGGAGAATATCAGGCTCATTATTCCTTCGGATTGTTCAGAGGGCTCCCCCTTCCCCCCCCCCCCGAGGGGTTTCAAGTGACTACAGAGGATGTTGTGCCAGGCATCCAGCATGTTCCTCCTTTTGAGGGGTGGTGGAGGGATCCACCACCTCAGCAGCAGTCTGATAGGGTATGTCTACACTGCCACCCTAGTTGGAAGTAGGGTGGCTAATGCAGGCATTCGAACTTGCAAATGAAGCCCAGGATTTAAATATCCCGGGCTTTATTTGCATGTTTCCGGGTGCCACCATTTTTAAATGCCCCGTAGTTCCAACTCCGCGCCCGCAGATACACACGGCACGGACTAGGTAGTTCAAATTAAAGCTCCTAATTTGAACTACCGTTACTCCTCCTGATGAGGAGGTAGTTCGAATTAGGAGCTTTAATTTGAACTACCTAGTCCGTGCCGTGTGTATCTGCGGGCGCGGAGTTGGAACTACGGGGCATTTAAAAATGGTGGCACCCGGAAACATGCAAATAAAGCCCGGGATATTTAAATCCTGGGCTTCATTTGCAAGTTCAAATGCCTACATTAGCCACCCTAGTTAGAACTAGGGTGGCAGTGTAGACATACCCATAGGCAGTTAGTGGAGGACTAGAGGAGAAACTGCTGCTTGTTCATGCAGAGGAGTTGGTGAGATGGCAGCAAGCAAGACTCAGAAGTGTTTTGCCGGCAGTTGGACTAAGAATTTTTGGAGTACATGATCCTGTTCCCTCTGCACATTCTTCCACTGTCTGTGCAGCTCTCCAGGTGCCAGCAAAGCTCAGCCTGCCTAAGAGGCCAATCCTCATTTGCTTTAAGAAACCTAAACTGCTTCTGACTTCTGTCTCTGCCAATGAGCAGGTCCTGCAGGGTCCTTTTGTGTCTTCCTCTGCTGTGGTGCCACTCCTGCCTTTCTACCAGCATGGGCTTCTCTGGTGGCATAGAAGAGAACATAACCGGTTTGAAGAGACTGTGGAATGGAAAAGAGTAGTGGCTCTTCAGTCCTGGGGAGGACACCTGGCCACCTATGCCAGAGAGATGTTTTTGATAATGGCAAACCCTCCACATATTATTGAGTAGTGGGGTTTAGTGAGCTCTGAAGTTGGACCAAGCACATTTGTCTTGCTGTTAAACATGAAGAACCATCTTGAATTTTGGATACACCAAAATTGCCTGGATTGTGCTTTTAGGACTGGGTGGCTATTCAAGAGAAAATTGACTGTATTCAATGCTAGCAGATGGAGTTGCCATAGAAGAGGAACAGAGAAGCACTGAAACCATCAACCCACCTGTTATTCCCCTGCATCACAAGAAAGTCCAGCCCCTATGCCTAGTAAATGGCATTGAAAGGGACAGAGAAACCTAGAGTGACTCCAGAAGTGTATTTTCTTCCCTAAACTTTTGGATTACTGGTCAATCACCTCTGCTACCAAGGGGCATGGCATTTGTGGATGCTTCCCTCATCTTTGCTACTCCTGGCTTCTGCTCACCATGGGGAGAAGGTGGAAACCATGGACTGGTAATGGTACAAAAACTTTGAAGTGGTCACAGACAATGTTCCCCGTAAGATGTTTGCTTGTGCGGCCACTCAGGAGAGATTAAATTCCAGTTGCAGAATGTCCACTGCAAGGTTTTTTGTTTCTCTTGGTGGTGTACATTCACAAATGTATTGGTGCATATAAAAATTATTCTTTACATGGATGGAAAAGATTAGAGGGAACATTGGTCACAGGAAGAATGGTCAGCAGTGACATTCCTTGGACAACTGAATTATTCCCTTTGCCTTGTTTAAAAAAAGCCTTATTTTCCAGGTTAGGTGATCTGGAGTAGATCCTTACCATGAATTACATCACTTTAAAAAAAAAAAAAAACGTTAGCTTTTTTTTCTTTCCTGTTTTCTCAATTCAAATATTATTTTTGCCGTTTTTAAATAAACATTTTAAATGGTGTAGTTCACATTATTTTAGAAATACATTGCACCTGAAGTTTTCCTTGTTTGGAAGAAAGTTTCTGTAAAGGCTACACTGGTTAAGAAAACTAACCACAAAAGGAAGGATTCTGAAGTGATCATTCTCAAAGTATAACTTTAAAAACATTAAGAGCATATGGCATATGTTTTGTCTGTATTGAATGCTGGGATCCTTTCTGCTGCCACTGTTAATGTAGGGGACGTCTACACAGCACACGTATTTCAAAATAAGCTATTTTGATTTTTTTTTCAAAATAGCTTATTTCAAAATAGCATGTCCACACTACAGGGAAGCCTCAAAATTAGTCCGAGGCAGGCTCCTCTAATGTGGACACGCTATCCATTTAGAGCCCCAGGAAGCAGTGGGGAGTAATTACTTTCAATGGTCCTGTGGAGGAGCTATTTCGAAATAGCAGCAGTGGAGCATCCACAATACCGCTATTTTGACATAGCTATTTTGAAAGAGGCGTTATTCCTTATGCAATGAGATACATAGATTTCAAAATAAGCCGTCCATTATTTCAAATTTATTTTGCAATAACGGAATTGCTGTGTAGATGCTCACATAGAATTTTTTTTTTTAAATAACAGCCATTATTTCAAAATAATGCTGCTGTGCATAGAATTTTTTTTTAAATAACAACCATTATTTCAAAATAATGCTGCTGTGTAGACTATACATACAAGCTTTGTTGCCATGTGAACTATGTCTCCACATCATAACTGTAGATGTCCGTATGGAAATTGTAGGGAGAGGCACAAGTTGCAGAAGGGAAGAGTTTGGAGAAGTTCCTGTTGACTTAAACTAGACTTGCCAGGGTACAATGAAAACAGAATTTTACCCCAGCTGTCTCAGGATTCTTAAAGGGGCAGTGACTTGTTCCTACAAATTATTACACATAAATCAGAAAGGAAACTGAAACTTAAAAGTTAAAAAGTTACTGGAAGAGATTGTTATCTCTGGATGTATCATCTCAGGCTGATAAATGCTAATGAAGCTAAAATATTTATTTTTAAAACAGGGAGGTATGCCTCATTCTTTCATATAGTAAGTTCCTTTGTACAGTCAAAATGGTGTAAATGGGCTTTAGTGTAAATGAGAATTAGGCTTATTGAGGTTGTGACAATGTTCTGTTTCAGCGATTTTTAACTAGACTAAGGAATAATAAGGATTTATTTAATCTAATGAATGTGCATGCTGTAAAGCAACAGTGGTTCTCTGTACTGCCTTTGACCTGCAGCATTCTGATGGCATAGAAAACACTCATTATGCAACTTGTCCACAGAGTCGCCATTGTAGTAAACGCATTTTGTCCTTTTATTTGCTGTTGTTTCTTTGATTGGCTTGCACAATAAGTTTGTTATAATATGCTGTTAAATATTATTTAGAGCTTTCAAAAGCATCCTGACTTTTATTGGATTTGTGTAAACTGTGTGCTAGTGTCTGTTTTACTGGATTTGGGGTTTGACAGTTTTTCAAAGGATCAAGTCTTTAACTTGGGCAAATCTCACAATGACTCTGTTTGGCACAATAGGACCACTGGATCAAGGACCTTTGAAGGGAAATGTAATTTTAGTGTAAGAGTAGTGCCAGTTATACAAAAAAGAAAGGACGTGGTCCCTGACATGAAGAGTCCAAATTTAGACATAACAGGTGGTTTGGGAAGAGCAAGGAACAAAAGGAAAGAAGAGCTATTACATGGGAGGAAAGAACAGGAAAACTTAAGTTGTCCTATATTAATGTGTGCTAAATAAATTAAATATTTAGAGACTAGTCCACAAAAGCTTTTGGTATTGACATCATAACAGCTACTATGTGACAATATATTCTATTGCAGAGTTGTGGACAGTTATGGTAACACAGAAAAAAAAAGTATTGTAAAATTAATTAGTTTCTTTCAAGTTAATAGCACTGATGCGTCTCTGTTTTATACTTTGTCCCTAGGCTCCACTTGCTGAGAGTTAACACTTCTTCCTTAATGGCTTTGAACTTTTCTAAAAACTTTAAATATAAATCCAGCCATCCTGGGAAAACAGAAAATAAATGTAGCTTGCTAGAGTTGCTTTAATAGGGGAAAAAACATCAATAGGTATTTGTTGAGAAGATTTTTAATATACAACTTTTCATATAAGAGAAAAATGTATTTTATTTCATTATATTTTCAAAAAAATTCAGTTCCATTTTTGATAGATCTAGGTGTATTTTTGAAGTGCCACAGTCTTTGTAGATGACTAATTCATGGATTAAATATACTTTTACTACAATGATTTTCAAGCAAATATATAAATGAAATATATGTTTTCGTGGCATTTTATGCATCTGGAGTGCCAATTTAAGGATACTTGCAATACTACACTGTAAAAACACTGAATACATAGCAATTTCATTTAGTGTACTAGTGACCTTGCTGTTAAATAAAAACAAGTAATGGATGCAACATTTGGCTTTGCCATATCTGTTTTAATGCAGCTGCTATCTTCCTGAAAGCATCTGTTTTCAGTGTAGCATTTTTAGCAGTGTACAGCAATTAAATAGAGCTGCCCAAACAATGTTTTATAATTCTAATGCTACTATACCAAGTATGTGTGGATAAACAAGAGATTGGGGCAGAGTAAACATTCTGTTAGAGGTATGGATGCTGTGTTAAATTAAATACTGATGTATGTGTTCAGATTACTCATCTATAGCAAAAAAGGCTGATTATTTTAAACACTTAAGCACATAATCTTCTCTTGATGAGAACATGTAACTCCTTTTAGTGCTAATGAGAGTTATGTGCATGCTTTAGACAGTAGAACAGATTCCTTCAAGATTAATTCCTTAGGTTTGTACAGAATGTCTAGAATCAACATGAGCTGTTTACTCCTGCAAGTGAAAATTATAAATACAAAACTGGAGCATGTTTACCGTACATTACCTCTTGAGAGAGACTGTCACCAGCACCTTAGGAGTGGTACACAGGGCATATACACATATCTATTTTAGGTACTTAGATGGGCCCCTAATACCCTAATATTTGAACTCTTTCACTGTGTTTCATGTCTTTATCCTCACAACACTCTGAGGTATGGAAGTACTACTCTCATTACAGATGAGCTACTGAAACCAAGAGAGAATAAGTGTCTTGCCCAAGGTCAGACAGTAAGTCTGTGATGGCACCCAGAGTTAAACCTGGGCCTCTAAAGTCCCAACCTACCACCCCAACTACTCTTGTGGACGGGCATACTGGGTATGACATGTTCACATTTCAGTGGGGCTGGTTGAAAAAAAGGCAAAGAAGAGCAAGCCTGTCACTGTTGGGTGCAGAGCGGTGAAAGGGTGATAAGCTGTTCTCAGACTCACTGAAGAAAAATGTGGATGTCAAGTTATTGAAATCTGTACACACAAACAGAAGTGTCGATATAACCTGCCACCGATATGGCCAGTTTCTGAGAGAAGAAAGGGGTATTTGATGCATAAAAACTAGTCCTTTTCTCCAACTCTTCTGTGGGATGAAAGGAAAAGACGTTTGCAGATATAACAAATGCAGAATGCATGGTGGAAAAATATCTGCGAATAGTCATTTGAATTTGAAAACTAACTTTGATTCAGCTATGTTTGCAATACTTTCATTTCCCCTTTCAGCATATATTTCAGTGGTCAGGCTTTACTATCACCAACTGTGAATTTTAAATTAATATGATTGAAAGGGAGTTTTGAATGATTCTGCTAAAAATATATGAAATTCAAAATTTGTGTAATTTTTGTTGCACAAGTCAACCAGTCATTTAACAGTACCACATGACTTATGTGGCTAAATGCCATGGAGGGACTATTTAAATTTAGATATTTACGAGAAACTGTTCATAAACTGGATAGGAAAACAAGTCTAGAAGACAACAGAGAAGTTCAAAGCAAAGAGAAGATTCTATGATCCGTTTATCATTGTGGCCTAGCAAATCTATCATGTGACCATGACTCAAAAGAGCAGTGTTCTTTTCCCAACTGCTGTTGATCTAGTTGGTGATCACTTCACCTCTGTGTGTTTGTTTCCCCACCTGTAAAATAAGGAAAATGATTTTTATCTTCTTTCTAAATGGCTTTGAAATCTGTGTGTAAGAAGCGCTATATAAAAAGCGAGGTATTAGAATGTTGTCAACATCTAACAAACAGGCATGAGTTTTTTTAACAAACGATTTCTTCTCTTCTAGATGGTGACAAGGCTGATATCTCTGCAAGTTTATATCCAGACATAAACATTATTGCTGGAGCACTGAAGCTGTATTTCAGAGACTTGCCAATTCCTGTTATCACCTATGAGACCTATTCCAAGTTCATAGAGGCAGCCAGTAAGAATTGTATAACAATGCAATATTTTTAAGTACATTTTCTCCTAAAAATAGTTTATTTAAAAAAAATCAAGCTTTTAATAAAGTGGAAGCAAATGCATTGCTTTGTTCATTGCTCTTTCATCATTTTCCTCTTTTAAATGGAGTATTTACGTTAGTGTTGATATAGAGCTATTCCCCTGCATCTGTTAAAAATAACTGGCTGTGTAAATCCAGGGCAGCTTCTCTAAGATGAAGGGAGCTACAGCTTCCATCAGCTGCAGATCTGAGCCAGTCTGATTGCCGTATTGAGATATGTTTGTGCATTTGTCCTAAAAATACATTTCTGCTTTAAAGGCTTAAATGACTAACCATTCTCCAGTGACTGAGCTTGGCATGGGGGGAGATCCTTAGAGACAGGGAAAGATGTGTCTTTCCTCTCTTCTACGAGCTACAGACTAGTAATGGAGCTGTACCTAAGCTGCTGTTCTATTCACAGGGCAAGTAGCTTCTGCAATGCTTGTTCTTGTACACACCAAAGACCGGAATGGTCAATAAAGCTCCCAGATCCTGCTTTTCGTACCTTGAGCCCAATTTGCTACTGTGAAGGAGCATGCAGTGGAGTCCTTATGAAGCTGGGCTTTATGGCAAGCAGAAGGGTGCACATTCCCTGTGTTGGTGCTTATCTTCTCTGCTCCCCTTGTGCAGCAGGACAGCTCTGGCTCCAAAGCAAGGCTGGCAGAGGAAGAAGTGAGATGTGCCCTCAAGTTTCTTTGTTAATGGTATAGAAACTTGCTGAAATGGAATTGCCCTGAATGTAGGTTAGTGCAGTACTCTGAAAAGATTTCAGAAAAAATCCATGTAGAATTTCTAGTAAGAAATCCTGAATTTTTTTAATAACTGTGTCCCACTGATTTTAAAACTGTCCTTCGAGCAAAGCAGCATGGATAGGCAATAAGCATAACATTCTAAACTACTGTTCCATTTCTCCTTCCCTTCCTCCTCACGACACACGACACACAAGACACACAATTACACACCTCTCTCTCTCTCTCTCTTCCTTTGTCACATGAAATTCCAAAAACTTGTGAGTAACATGCTCTGATCATCTTACCAACCTTTTAAAAAGCATGATACAGACATTTAGTTCAATCTGTTTGTGCTTCTACTTGTGGATGAAAAATTGTGTAGAAAATATTACTGACTCAGCTTGGACCATATAATGCCATATCCTTCTTAAATAATTCCTGAGTAGATAATTGAATACTGCCAAACATTTTAATTAAGCATCACAATTCCCACCTCGCCACTATCTACAATACATGATTGTGTTATTTGATTTTAGTTTTATTAGCAAATGTTTGGCATTTTGCTCACTCCCTCAAAGGATGCATTTAACTTAAATGCCTATTGTAAGGAACGCATGCAGCCTGTGTAGAGCTTGGATGTGAATTAGTATAGCTTACTCTGTATTGGGCATATCTGAGTACTCAGCAAGTACCAGTCAGCAACTGGTCAGTGCAACAGCTGCCTGGCTTCTCACCTGCTAAGTGTAGTACTTGGAATAAAGCCTGACACTGCTTCAGCTGAACCCAAGTGTCTTGTCTTGTCTTGTTCCATGACACTCATTTTTATTTGGCAGATAGTCCAGACATCACATAAAATCAGAGACTAGATGAAGGGTAGATGCAGGTCAGAATATTAAAAACACTATAAAAGAAGGCTCAGCTGCTGTAAGCAGATATGCAGGTGAAAAAGTAACTTAAAGTCACACACGGTCTCAGCTGTTGATTGCTTCACAGGTTAAAACCATTTTATTAGCTACCTTTGCATCCTGGCACAAACTCTCCATATGTAAATGTAATATTTATCCCCAGCAGCATGTTCAAGAACCATTTGTCTTTATAAATGATTTTGTAACATGATTGTAGCTTCTTGCATTATTGCCTGTTTACGTGTGTAAAGCTAGTAACATTCTGTTTTGTGCTTTAAAGAAATCTCAAATCCTGATGAACGATTAGAAGCTGTCCATGAAGTGCTGATGCTACTTCCTGCTGCGCACTATGAGACACTTAGATATCTAATGATTCATCTCAAAAAGTAAGTTAATTTGCATGCAAAATAACCCTTGAACAGCTTCTACTTTGAAACAGAGCTATAATAAAAGGCAATTTAAGCCTCCATCAGAGCGCAAAGGTTAAAACTACACTGTTACAAATGAGAATAAACAAGCTAGAAGAGTAACTTTGCACTTGCAGTGCATAGTGCGTTCCGTCAGCAAATCTCAATATATGTTAGAAATATTAATTTAGTTTTGTAATATGACCACACATGGTCACAAAAATACAAAAACCAATAATTTTTCCTAAGTGACACACAATAAATAATTAGGTTCCACTTTATAATACAACTGTAGTTACAGATGTAGTTAATGGCAATTCTTCTTTGAATTTGTGCCAGGGTGGGCCCCACTGTAGTTGTGCTTTCATCTCATGCATGCAAGACTGTTTAGGGCCACACATGATCTCTGGATCTCCTAAGACTTCCATAAAAGTGCATTAAGGGTGAGCCTCCCTCTTTTCCTTTTTCCACCAATGGCAATGAGATGGAACCTGGAAAGCATATGACCCACTACAGTGGGGTCCACCCTGGTACAAATTAAAATTCTTAGATTTGGCTAAGCCTTCTGAAAATCCTATTTAAAAGTCTTCTGATGACCTTGATTTTTGACTGTTGGGATCACCTCAACCTATCTTCATTCAGTACTGACAGCGAAACCCCTCCATACAGATCCCCCCCCATAGAGGGGTACTTAGATGGTGGACACAAAATCTATGAGCTTCATAAACTGTTCATCCTATGATGGTCTAATTGTATTAAAAGATGACCATGGTAGGTGCGGTGCCTCAGCTGTCTAGGAGAGTCGCACATTCTGAGCAGATGCTCAGTGTGCATGTCATTCTCTACTATGACATGTAAATCATGAGGCTGAAGCTCCAACTTTTGGAACAATCCATGAAGGTCTCCTCTGACCCTGAGGAGACAAGTTCTAACATTCTGCTAGTAAAGAAGCCAGCAACATCCAGTGCCCCATCTAGCAGACAAGCTACCAACAGCACTAACACCTCAGCAGCAAAGCTCATCCCAATATCAACAGCATCAAAATGGGCATTTACACCCCCTGCTGTTGAAGTCTGTCATGTAGAGGGGCTTCTTAAAATATGGAGGCAGACTCTAAATGGAGCTTAGTGTTCTCCCATAAGGATAGATAATCTGAAACCTGTAGACATAAATCCATCAGGCCATGCACAGTGTCAAGAATTGGGGAGAAAAAACTGCTTCCAATGCCAAAGACCCTTTTGGTGCTAGGGATGTTAAGGACTAAGCGACTAGTTGATTATCCGATAAGCAAATGCTTATCAGAAAGTCGACTAGTTGCTTACCCCCTTGCTGCCTCTATCCTGTGCTCCATGCGGTACTGCCACTTTGAAACGCCGCCAAGGCAATTCAAAGGGGCAGAGCCGCACAGCTGATCCTGGGCTCCGTGTGGCACTGCCCCTTTGAAACGCCGCGGTGGTGTTTCAGAGCGGCAGTGCCACATGGCACCTGGGATCAGGACATTTCAAAGGGGCAGCACTACCCTATTGATTAATCGAATTGTTGATGCAAAAATGCATCGACTGTTCTATTTAGTGAATTAAATGATACTTAACATCCTTAGCCGGTGCACCCATCAGGGCTCTTCTATGATTCAACCCTCAGCATCAAAGCTGAACACAGAGAATGAGACCATTGGATATCTGGAACAGCCATCAGTGTTGAAGCACCTGTAGGTACCAGATCCTGGTAGTAAGAGTGCCATACACTTTGATACTGTCTCTGGAGGAGGTCTACCCCATCCTCACTGTCCCCAGGCAAATGTCCCCATCTTCAAATAGCAAACTGTCTCCTCTAAGGTCAGCTATCAACAACACAGAGTAATCTACTGGCCTCCTTTGCAGGGCTCTACCACTATCAGCCACCATGGCCCAGTTGGCATTACTGGGGTTTTTGTGACTGGACTGCCTTATATATCTGTCCAGGGAGACAAGGTGATGTTGCTACCCCAATCAATGTTCCTTCATCAGGTGATCTTGATATTTCACCTGAACCAGACTTTTATCTCAGCTGTGTTCTTTCCACAGCTTCATTTGAGGCCAGGAAATGACGGAATCATTTCAGTGTTATTCCTAATATATATTTTAAGAATCTACATATGGCAACTACATTGTATGTATACTGGAGTTATTGGTTTTGTGGTGAATCTTCTAGCTATGAATAAGTAGCATTTAAAGTCAGGAAAGAGGAAACTGCATGCCTTGAATGTAAACAGAGCTTTTCTATATAGAACCAAGCCTTTTGGGCTGCCTTTCTCTCTGTTGGTGGCCATTTCCAGCCCATCTCAGGGCCAAGTCATCTTGTCAAAGGATCTCCAAGTGGATGACACAGTTCACTTCCACCTGCTATCAGCGTACTGGAAAATATCTCCTTTTGAGCTTTAAGGTGCTACCAGGGCACAAGCTGTTAAGAATTATCCCCTTGACATGTCAGCCAGGGCAGACACAATGTTCAAGAGGGCGTGAGACTGATATGGCTAGAACTCCTCACTTCACCATTCTGAGAAGACACTGCGTGCCAGTCACCTACAGTGAGATCCACACTGACACATACTTTAAGAAAGCACCATTACTTGCCCTCCAGTGATTGTGGTTTTTGTAAATGTTGTAGTCTGTGTGGATCCCACGACACTCCTCCATTGCCACTTTTAAAGTGATCAGCTAACAAAGGGTTTTGAATTGCAAAGGAACTGAGGGCTGTTTGTGGCTGCCACACCCTTTATGCTCTTGAGGAAAGACCAGAAGGCACAGGGCTTGTGTATGGCCTTGACAGACCCTGCTGTTCAAATATATTCCTGTTGTACATGCCTGGGCATCACGTGCACCAACGGTGGGATCCACACTGAATACAACATCTCAAAGGACCATAATTACTGTGGGGCCTTTGTTTGCATTGTAATTACCCGGTAATTATTCTTTTTGATAAAAATAATTGCTACTAATTTATTCTAGCCACATGGTGGAATCATTTCAGTGTTATTCCTAATACATATTTTAAGAATCTGCATATGGCAACTACATTGTATTTATACTGGAGTTATCAGTTTTGTGGTGAATCTTCCAGTTATATGAATAAGTAGCATTTAGAGCCCCAGTGAAATTACACTGTAATTGCTGTGTCTGTCACTCTAGGGAGATTACAATCACTAAAGTGTAACCAAGATTGTATGTTGCATGAATGCCATTGTTTCAACCAAAATAGTCCCATAAAATAATGTTCCTATATATTAGATTTGTCTAATGAGGAAATTGCTACTTACAAATTTTATTTTTTCCTACTTTAGAGTTACCGTGAATGAAAAGGAGAATTTTATGAATGCTGAAAACCTGGGAATAGTGTTTGGACCTACTTTAATGAGACCCCCAGAGGACAGTACTCTCACTACCCTGAATGACATGCGGTACCAGAAGCTAATTGTGCAAATTTTAATAGAAAATGAAGATGTTTTGTTCTAAACAATGAAGAAGTAACTGCATAGTCAGTTGGTTTTCCTTTAAACTAATAATTTCAAAGCAACATTTCTTTATAGTTAAAAAGGAAGAGAGAGTTCCTGGGCTGCACTTCAGTTTCTGCAACATTGCAGATGAATGCCAAAATGTTTAATAAAGCCTATGTCTTATAGACATACGCCTCTTTTTTAGGGAAAAAAAAGTCAGAAAAAATCCTTCTATCTTGTATCTTTTGCCTTGCCTCATATGTATATTTGTTTTGAGAAGTTGCAAACAATTTTACTAACTTAAAGAACACAAAACATATTTTAATATGGTTAGAGAAGCAAAATGGTACTTACTCAATATTACTTGTATACAGCTATACATTTACCCACTCTGTAAGACATAATTATATATGTCAATTGTGAAACAAATCCTATATTATGAAGATCATTTACTTTAATTAGCTGCTAGAATGGCATTTTATTTTAGCAAACATTTCAATGTGATGCATTATTTTCCATATATCTTCTCCTGCATTTTTGCCTACAATATACTGAAAACGTTTACCAATTGTGCAGTATTATCCTGACATACCTCTTTTATTGCAAATGCTTTGAAAGGAAGTTTTTTTTAATATGTATTCTACCTTTCTTTAGACTTTTGTTTATATTTTAGGCATTCTAAGATTGCATAGTACATTTTTAGTCATTTGGTATTTTCTAACAAGTATAGTCTTATTTTCTTTTCTCCCGTACAAAATGTGGTGTTACAAGTTTTCAGAAGTCTGGTGGTAGTATCAGTTTCATGTGCCAGATGTTTCTTGGAGTACAGTAATGTGTAAGTTAAGTGATGCTGGGACACTGGATATTTTCTGGCCTTGTTAAAAAGTTAGCACTTTTGTTTTGCTTAATTATAGTTTTTTTGTAAAAAGCAATTTGTTTGTCATGTTTCTGTATTTATAAATGTACAGTAAATCTGCCGAAAATGTGAGTGTTTCTCTTGAATATGTTTCCTGATGGTTTGTTTTTTAAAAACAACAATGTGTAAGAAGTATGGGAGTTGGTAAATTTAATTATTACCAAATCTTTGATTTTCCTCCCTTAGCAAATATTGATCAATATGGTTCATAATCTAACAAACATATTTCTAATATTAAAATGGTTTATTAGCATGAAATTTTTCTAAAAACATAGACAGGCGGCATACTTTACTACCAAACTGAATTTTATGTATGAAAAGCTGTATCTCCTTGTGATTGTATGGATCACATATTTGGTAACTCAGTGATATTGTTTTCTGAATTATTTCAGGGAGCACAGCTTTCTATTCAAATTGAAAATTGTGTATAACTATGGTAATGAAGGGGATGGAATACTGTAAATTTTTTGATCTTTAGAGAAATTTTCAAGGGCTAGATATATTAACCCAGATTGCACAGCAGATGTTAAATAGTTCTGATTTGCTGATACTACTATAGATCCGCCTAAATTGTACAGGTTTATTTGTTTTAAGTTCTGTACTAAATACTGTCATAAAAATGATCTGGAAATGGTTTTATTTTGTGAAGTGAAAAATGCTTTGTAATTTATGATAGTATAAATGGAAGAAAAATCCCATTAAATGTGTTAAGAGTTCTGGTGTTTTTCATTTTGACCATATGGGCACCTAGGAAACAAACAAACCAATCAATTTATCAGTCCTCCCACATTGTTGAAAAGTTCATTATTTTTAAAACTCAAAACTAGTTTTACTGTTAAGAGTCTTGAACTTGTGGGGTACACATACTTCTGCAACTTCTTTACTGCGTTTTGTCACCAAATTTCCATTCTTGGTAAGCAGAGAAGCAGAATATCAACCCAGTCAGCTGTACACACCATATAATAGTGACACCAAAGCAACTTCTATTCTACTCACTTGCATACAAAAGTGTGAATGTGACAATCTTCCTTTATTTCTTTTCAGTGAGGTAGGATTTTGTTGTTAAGAGAGCTCTGTTTTACTGATGATTGTTTAGTTGGAGGAAAGTTGAGCAAAGGTCTGCAATCCTACCTTCTGGCTGCTTCACCTCTTCCAATCTTGAATGAACTGGTGCCATGAGTCCAGTAAAACAGTGTGAAATCCTACTCTCTAATCGCTCCTCTTGTGAGAAAGACTACAGATTAGAGTGGAAATTGAGGCACAGCTGGAAAGATAAAGGACCCTGTGACATATTGGTTACAAAGAGAAATATGACGTCAAATCTTTCTTTAAAATTGCCTGTCCTGCTAGGAGCATTGACCCGCCAAGTGGGCTAAAAGATGTCACATCACAACTGTATATGCCAAGATGGTGAGGAAGTTATTGCAACTCAAGAGACAGTGGACAAATCCCAGAAGATGGTAGGTGATATGTCCAATCTGCTATAACACTTATATCCTCCTCACCAGAATATGAATCACTCCGATTCCCTGAAGCAAAATCCGCAACACTGCCCACAGCCCATGTAGCTAGGAGTGTGCGCAGGGGAGTCTTTTGGGGAGAAGGAATACTCCTAGCCCACAGAGCCTCCCCACAGCTACTGCTGCATCCTAGGGGCTACAGTAACTCCCTAGCAGCTTGTTGCATCCCCAACTCAATGTGGAAGGTATGGCCATCGCTCTGGATCCACTAGCCATACCTAAGTGCCATGCTGAAGCATAGGGGAGCCCTTTAGAGTTTTATTCTATAGAATATGTAGGATGCAGAGCTCTAGCAAAAGCCTTGAGAATCCTGCTTGTCCCCCAAGTGGTCCCATAAGCCCACAAAGAAGGGGCAGGAATTACCCTTTTTCCTATCCAGTTAAATCTAGTTACATTACTATAGCATCGGGGTAACATATATTAAAAGAATAAGGTGTCAGTTACTTTCCTATTTCTCTTAGATGAACTCTGCAACAGTAATATACGAGGTTAGTCTGGGCACTGCTGAGAGTGTCAGATCAGGGTGAACTGCTTAAAACCAGGGTTACTTACAGCCCAAGACTGGGGACTTTCCCTATAAGGCACCAAATCTGTCATGCAGAGCACTTCAGCTGCCACTCTAGCCAGCAAGAATTCTCAAAAGCAAAAGCCCTTAGACACTCCAGTGTTTCCCATGCCGCAGCCAGCACCATTCCTTACACAGGTGAGAGGTTATAAAACCCAATCTCACCAACTCCAAACAGGTTCTACTACTCCTAAAGGACTAGCCACAGTCCCACAGGTCAATTTATACCTGGGATCTTACCCAAAAGAGCATGCTGTGTCAATCATTTAGAATCTAAAATCAAAAAGGTTTGTTAATAAGAGAAAGAAAAGGTTGAACGTGAGATTGTTAAGGAGAATACTTTACATACATCAATCACCAAGTTCTTGATGCAGGCTCTTAGCAGAGATGTAACAAACTGTCAACTTAAAAGTCTCTGGAGTACATCCTATGTCAGGATGGGTCGGCAAATCCTTCTGCATCCTCTGTCCTTACCAGTGGTGCTTCTGGAGCAGAGGGCAAGAGTGAAGGCCAGATGGAGGAACCCTCACAATACTTTTATAATCCATCTCATGCGCAAGGAAAAAACATTCCTCTCCTGGGTGCAGGTGCCTCCTAAAATGGGCTGATCACATGAGCCACAAACCGGTTTCTTTCCTTTTTAGGCAAGGAGCCATGTAGTCCCCAGGTGTGTTCTCAGGCAAGGGGCCACTGTATGCTCCTCGGGTGTCAATTGGCAACATTGTCAAAGAGCCATTGTCCATGCAGTATCAAGCAACCACCGCTCCCAGAAGAAAACATTTAAAATATAAATACAAAGCCCATATTCATAACTGTACACACACAGATTGTACAAGTACACGAGTATCCTAGCCAGTGTCAGCATAGTACGAGCTTTCGTTTGACACTTTACATGGTCCACTTTGCACCGAATTTGGGGCAACCATACATTACTGGGTGCAACAATGATTTGCCTGCTCTCATTAAAACCCAATAACATGACACATGCTGACTCACTGCAAAGAGAAAATGCTCTCTGACCGCACAATTAGCAAATACTGTTCTCTTTCAAAATGCTGACTCAGATAGCAGCAGCATGTGAAGTTTTCACTTTCAAAGAAGGCTGTTTCTATGTAAACACTAACCTCCTTAGCAATCTTGGGTCAATCAGTATCTTGTGACTCTGATCTTCACTGATGACTTTCAAATGCACAAAAAGTTTAATGTTCTTTTGGCCAGACATGCAACCAGTCACAAAGGCACACAAATTTTACTTCCTTCTCAGCCCCGTGCAACAGAAGAGTATGTGTCTCAAAACTTAATAGAGAATTTCAGACAGCATGTATAAAAGTCTCAGAGAGGTATCTGTGTTAGTCTGTAACTTTAAAAATAATGAGTAGTCCAGTGGCATCTTAGGGTACATCTACACAGCAGCATTATTTTGGAATAACTAATATTATTTCAAAATAACATAGTGCGCATCTGCACTACAAGCCTTTATTTTGAAATAATATCAAGCCAGAGGACTTCTTACTCCAACTCATAGTAACCCTCATTTTACGAAGAGTATGGGAAGTTGAAGGAAGAGTATTCTTCCTTCAACTTCCTGCTGTGTAGACAGCGCCAAAAGCTGAATTAAGCTATTTTGACTTAAGATATGCAATTGACATAACTGAAGTTGCTTAGCTTAATTTGACTTTAGCCCTGCTGTGTAGATGTACCCTTAGGTATGTACACTGGCAGCTTCTTGCGCAAGAATTGTTTTGCAGAAGAGTTCTTGCGCAAAAAGTCTTCCACAAGAGCGCATCTACACTGGCATGTGCTTTTGCGCAAGAGATGTGCTTTTGTGCAAGAGTGTCTATGGCAGTGTGGATGCTTGTGCAAGAAAGCTCTGATGGCCATTTTAGCCATAGGGGTTTCTTGCGCAAGGGACTGGGAGTAAAATATTTTCACTGGAAGGCTCTTGACCCTGAAACTGGTCTGATAGAGCTCAAAAGCATGATCCTGCACACAGGTTAGTTGTTGATTGATTGCTAAGATCCAGTGCAATGGTTGATATGTAGTTTACTTAAGGGGAGAGTCTCTTTTATAGGGAGCATTTTATAAAGGATTAAATGTACATACTTAGAATCTGACTGTTGCACCTCTCCCTCATTAATACATACTCATTAATGTCCACATGCCTTATACTGATGGGCAGTGAGGGGAGCAAATGAGCCTTAATCAAGCACAAAATCATATGGGGAACCTGTGCAGAAGAGAAATGGGCTGCAAGTTAATATTCGATGCTACCATGCAGCAGTCACAAACTCTTCAATATGATTGATATTGACAATAAGAGAGGCGAACAGTCTGAATGGGGAGGACAAGGGACAGACGTGCTACATGACATATTCCCCTTTACCATGACCCTGTTCCTTATAACAATTAGGCAAGTACATTAAATCATTGGGACTGCTCACAGTAATAAACTTAAGCATGTGTGTAAATGTTGGAAGAATCAGAGCCTAATGAGTCCCACCAAAGGTGTCACATGGGCAGGATAGTAAGAGGTGGGGAGAATCAAAGGCTGACAAGGAAAATAACCAGACTGCTGCTGCAGAAGAGAGACTAAAACCAAGTCAACCCATACAGCTAAGCTTCTTCCAGTTTTTTACCAATGGATGACAGTCTACACAAGCTTCCTATTACTACCATTTTAAAGAGTAGGATAATATGTCTCTACTAAGCCTACTGCTGTCAAATGTGATTTCTAGCAATTTTTCTCCTTCCCATTAGTTTTAGTGTGGCCTATTAACATGGGTCTAATTCAGTACATGGTGACAGTGACATAGATAATACTCAGAAGACAATCATTGATTAATTGATCCCAGTGGTATAGATAATTTCCATTTTCCTGTTGAGTAAACTGAGGTGCACACCAATTTCTTACCCAAGATTATATAGCACCTTACAACCTATCTCCCACCTTCTCTGCTTTGTTTTATTTTGGGGGTATTAAGTGTAGCATTTTTTAAAGAACGAGAGTGAATGGTTAGAGATAATTATGCTTTTCTTCAAAACTAAAACATATAATTTTTTTGTGGGAAAGCATGTCATGTGCATGCATACAATACCTTTGTAAAGCTGGCTAGGATCTCCCACGATTGGGATAATTTAGCTAACAACACACAATGTCCCTTGCTAGTAGTCATCAAGTGTTTTGTTATATACCCATAGAGCACCTCACCTGACCTAAGCCGTAAGGCAACTACCCTCTTCTTCTTCAATTCCTTTTTCTAAAATACACTTTTGTTATGATGCCTACAAGAAATATGTCAATCAGTTAGAAATAGGCATTGGGACTTAGCAGAAATTTAACCCAAAAATAGTATTTGTATTTAATACTACAAGAGCTACAGGAGGAGGTGGCTAGGTTGAGGAGCACCTGCATCCATGAGAAATTCCTGGACTGTGTTCATGAGGAGACAGCTGAGGTAGTTGTCCCGGTACACAGGACTGTGGACACACCACTGGTGGAGGAGGAGATGGCTCAGGGTGGACAGTGGCAGCTGGTTACTTCTGGCAGCAGGCACTGCTCTGCCCCTGCTCCGAACCCTCCCGCCATGGTACTAGGAAACCATTATGCTCTTCTTTATAGAGGAGATAAGCA